GAATTTCCCCTAGTGTGACCTATGTGACACATTTTCTTTTAGCATGTTACCTTCCCTATTTTATCCACCACCCCTCAAAAAAATAGGAAATTAAACGTAAATTACTCTTTAAAAATCATCATTGCTCAGACAAACCATAACTACTGAATAGAAAATCAGATTAGTATATAGATTAGTCTATATTCTTTGGTGCATTATTCAATTAAATAAAAATTATTAAGTGCATTACTATCATTCGTATAAAAAAATTAGGGTTAACACTCTTTGACAAATGACAGCAATAAAAAAAGAAGATTGGTTAATAATCTTTGATATTTCAGTCAGATACTCTCTACTCTTCTTTTTTTCAAGTTCATAAATTTTAACCTGTCCTCTTATGACAGCCTATCCATTCCATCCTAGTAGACCTCCTTAAACTCAATACTCCAATAAGGCCTAACCAATTGACCTATACAATGAAATGATAAATCTATAGATTAATGGTTCTGAAAATGTGGGTCACAACCCCATGTTTTGTTGTGGGGTCAAAAGAAGACCACTACAGATAGACTTAGTTTTGTTCTGGATTAAAAACCTTTGAAAACTGCCCTGTGAATGTGTTTGCTTGCAATGTTGTTTTAGGTGTTTAAGTTTTTGGAAAGTGCTGCTTTCAGTATTTCTGTAAATATAACCCCAAATCGTATGTGCCCTACATATAGCATCAGCAAACTTCTTGGATATCTTTGAGATTGATCAATCAAAAACCAAGATCCTTTCCTCCATAGCACACTTAAGAAGATTATTTCCATCAGAATGATACATATAATGTAAATTATGACAATACATATTCATAAACATGCATTTTGTTATTATTATAAGCCATTTGCCAGTTATTTGCTCAACTCATCAAATGATCTGAATTCTTTTATAAAGCAGAAAAATCCTTCTCACAACCAGCAATTCTCAAGACCATAATACCATCAACAAATTTAAGCAATTTATTGACTATTCTCTGATCTGTTTCTGTCTACTAGCTTTAAGCCGAGTGCTATTTGAAATTTATTTGATGATTTATTTATTGGGGGGGGGGGGCTTAAAAAGCCATAAAATGTAATGTATAAATATATAAATTCTAAACTCTTTTTGGAAATGGCCTTGCTGAACACTTCTGCATACTGAAGTATCATATTGCAGTTTTTTAGTGCTAGACCTGAATATGAACAACAATTAATACCAATACCGTAAAATTTGAAAAGTGTATTTTTTCTGAACTTTTTAATATTAAATTATATTTATGAAGTTGGTAATTATACACTTCCATGATAAAAACTGCTTGGACATGGACATTTGGCATAGTCTATAAAACATACTTTGTAGGAGTGGATAGAGAACATAAATAAAAGATTATCAGGTAGATAGATAGATTAGTATGTTGAAGTTGTTAGTAAAGTGTGAAATGTTTGAGTTTGCTGGAAATGCATAATAAATCTCAAAAATCATATTACCAAAAAAGAAATCACAGTGACTTTACTACATTCATTATTGTTACATGTTAACAGGTACCACCCACAATTCTTATCACACACTTTATGAATGTGGGTACTTTGAAAGAGCTGGAATATGCAAACTGTATGTCACCCTCAAGAATGCTCAGCACTATTTTATTTGGTGCAAAGTTTATGAATATTGAAAATTTCAAAGTTGGTTGAAAATCCTGTGCAGTAATTAGAGTCACTTCAAGAAGTTTTTAAAGAGTTGATTGAATATGGGTTCGGAGGTAGGTAATTAAAGAACTTAATGGTGCTTGTCTTGTGACAGATTGAAAGATGTTATGATGTAGGTTTAATTCTGTAAGTTAGGCATGAGAAATACTTGTGAAGTGTGTACCTGTCTGAATGGCCATGGATGTGAAGAAAACACAATCCCAGGACTGTAGCTGTATTTGGGTTAGCAGACCAATATGGTCTTCAAACAGAATATTGGTTCCTACCACAAAGCATATACAGTACTACTCATGCTAGTTTCAAAAATAAGGTAACTGTCTTGAAATGGCTTAACCAAAGCCTATATATATCTTTGGCAGGGTTTATTCTAAAGTTTAGTCTACTGCCTTTCAGTTATTAACTGCTCAAACAATTTAAAGTAAAGAGGAGACAAATTATATCAGACACCACTCAAAACCTCATTGAGAGCATGTCTTGCATAATAGTAGTAGTTATTCAGACCATTGTTTGTACTACACTGACTTAAAAACCATGATCACTATAACCATGAATCAGAACAGAATTGGCAGACCAGTGTATATATATGTGTGTATAGATATATAGATGTATAACTTATACATGTTATTGATTTTGTACAGAGAATAGCAGAATCAGACATGGACACTAATCAGTTGGAAGCATTTCTGACTTCACAGACCAAGCGAAAGGAGGGTGGATTAACTGATGACGAGGTCAAAGTATTTACCCGGTTTTGGAGGAATCACAGGTCTCGGATTCATGACATACTGATTCAAAGGTGTCAGTGGAATCCTTCTTTGAAGGCTGTTACTTGGCGAGTTGATCTAAAAAGCCAAACAAGGGATAATTCAGAAGTGAATTCACCAGTAGCTATTCTTGATATTCAGTTAAACAATCAACTGAATGATACCAGAGTAAGTGTATATTTATATTTCAGCTACAACATTTGAAAACTGCAGGTTGTTAGAGAGTAGAGTTAATCACAACAAAAACATTAGATATTTTGTGTTCAGATTTAACAAATGATCTAGATGTCATCTAGGTAAGAGGACAGTAGGATTTACAAAGCTTTGTTTGGTGATTTAATGAGAGACTGTACAATATAAAAAGATAGTGAAGTCTTATTTTTGGATACTTGAATAGTTAAATTTCCCATTCTCTGAAATTTTAGTACTCTTACTTACCTATTTTTTTTAACTACTTCTATTTCTAGTATATTTTCTTTGTACTCTTAAACAGGTGGAAGTAAATACTTAATTTAAAGGTAAATTATAACCTATTATAACACAAAAGAATGTTAGTTTATCATAATATATGTTTATTGTTTATGAAACGAAAATCCAATCCAGAATTCAAAACTTAAACATGTAGTATACATATATGTAATGACTAATTGTTTTTATACACCTTGAAAATGCTTCTAAAACATGAAAAAACTCTAAACTAGACACAAAATGACTCTAGAATGGAAAAACTAAAAAGGATAAAAAGTCAAAAAATATTTTCAACCTTCAGCCTTCTAAAACTTGGATTGTGGTTAGTATGAGTATTGAAGCATACTGATGTTGCACATCATACTCTTAAGATAATTATACCAAAATACAATCTGTATATTAATCTAGCATTCATGCACTGTTTTGAATGCTACTATTCCCTGAAAGTAAGTTTGACAATAGTTTTTTACCCAAATTCACCTTTCAAGAAACAAAAAATTTAAACAGATACATTAAACATGACTAGAATTAAATACTCCTTTTCATCAGTGTTTATATTGGCAATGCTTAATAAAGAAGTAGTGAACTGCCATCACAAAAAAGCAGACAATCAAAGCTTGAGAAGGTCAGATTTTTTGTGTGTGTGTACATGCATGTGATGGATTTTGAGAAATAATTTTAATTAATTTTCAGATTTTAAAATCATGTATGGTTGTATTTCAGACACAATATATTACTTCTGTTCCTAAATAATGATGAGAATAGAGGCTACAAGTTTAATTAATTTCTACACTGTTTAATAATGATGCTGATACTCTCATCTTAGTTGCATTTTATCCTGTATTCTTTGATTTACATGGTGGTTATACACCATTCCTAAATAGGTAAAAATTATTTTAGATGCAATTAATAAGCAAATTGTTTTTTGAAGTTTTAACTTAAGCAGCTAAGTTGCCTGCAATATAAAATGGATCTATCTTTATTCATTTCAGTAAATTTCAGATTAAAATATAATAGAGTAATCAGTTACATGAAGAAAATTTTTCTCTCTGACCAATGGGAAATTTATAATTTAAATTAAAATAATGTTCTAGGTTTCACATTGTAGTCTATCTTGCTGGGTGTGAGTTTAAACTAAGACAGTCATGTCTTCAGTATCATTGTGAGGAGGAGGGTTGCAGTGTCTTGAGACATGATTGTCTTTGTTATGAACAAGACACAGGTGTTCATGAAAGTGAAATGCCTTAATGTCATAAGCACTGCTTAAAGTGAGGTGGAATGCCATCCAACTTCTTCAGGGGGGCCTGAAATCATCTTGCCACCATTTAGTAGACTGTAAGCTTTTCAGAAGGGAAAGGTTCAATAGACAATGCAATAAATACATACAGTAGCAAGAAACTGGGGAAAGAAACTCTATTTTTCTCTTAAAAGAGTGAAGCAGGAATGAGACAAAGTAGTACATGGATGGAGTGAATAACACCTCTCACTACTATGGGCTCGGTTGGTTAGACTAAATTCTTAACCACGAGGTAACTATCAGAGTTTACGATGCAGTACATCACCTCCCTCACATAAATAGCTATTCTTGTTCAGCTGCCCTCTATATGCAGACACATTTTTTATGCACGCCACAAGCCTTTTATCTCCCCTCCATTGGAATTGGCTGATTCCATTGCATCTCTCATGCAAATCATCATATGACAAAACTCCACCAATAAGAGTGTGGCATATTCTCATGGTGCATGTGATACCCTTTATTCAGTTCTACCAAACTACCACTTCTCGTGTGGTAGTATTCGTGTTCAGACATTTTTTCTTTTGGTGCTCTTCTTGTGTATCTTAATTTTAATAGTTTAATTTCCAAAGTGGGATTTCTTCACTATTTTTTTTTCTTTACACTGAAGAAATCTTTTAATTTAACTTAATTCCTAGTCTTATTTTTTCTCTCACACTTGCATATTTGATATCAAACACTTTTCTTTGATTCACGTATTTCTACAATGAATTCTGAGAATCATGTTCCCACTTCGGGTGTCATACCTCAAGTACTATTTTCACATGCTGCAGGTGGGGGAGACCCGTTGTTGGACTTCTCTGCTATTATCCATCATAAGATTCATCGTTATACGGGTCAACATTTTTCTCCTGAATTTGTCCCACTAATCCTCCTGAACAAGCCAAACCTGTTCAGGCCAATGAAGATTTGATAGCCTTTTTACACCACCAGATTTTTCCCTGCTCCACCTGCAGAATCAGCTAGGTCTAATATAGCATTTTTAGACCTGATTTCTCAGGTATGTTATGTTTTATCCAATTCCCCATTTTTCTGTGGTTTCTTATTACCTCCATGTTGGCTCTTTATCATCTTCTGCTTTCACTTTATACACGTGTTTACACTGTATTTGGGATATTCTGGGTCACTACCTTGTCTTGGGTATGTTTGCTGCCTCTTTTTTTTTGAGATTTCTGTTTTTCTGCTTTGTTGATATGTTTTCAATCATGTATCTGAGATTTTGGAATCTCGTGTGTAATCTGTATATCAAAACTTGACCCTTTTCTCTTTATTTTGCAAGCTTGTTGCAGTTGGAGCCACGACATGCCCCTATTCCTTTCCCATCCTGGTCCTTATCTACTCATCCCTGTTCCCCTTCCAGGGGTTTCTTATCTTGTTGTTTTATTCAACTTTGATGGACGTGTCGCCAACAGTACCGGAAACTAACTAGATGGTTCTGGTCTAGTGGGAGCTTGAATATATTATATTGTTACCCTTTGGTGATCTTTCACTACAGTTCCATAGGTTCTTTGGGTTTTATCAGAAGGACTTGTCCTGCTAATTCTTTCTCCACCTCCTTTGACCCTCGTACCCTTTTTTTTCCCCATGACTTGTGATCCTGCCACTAGCCTGTGTCTGTTTTAAGAGGTACAAGTTTTTCTGTCTCTTGAGGCAGTTTCACCTGTTCATCAGAGACTGGTGACCTGTACTAGGTTTGTCCCAGCTCATTCTCATTTTGAGTCTGCTCTGTTTTACCTTGGAGTCGTTTCTCACCCTTAGGTGTGCTCTTTCTCCAGGTTTATTGATCACAAAGAGGAATGTCACAAATGATTATTTGCATATCCCAATATTTTGTCACTCACGACCCTCTCTTCAGTTTATTCTCCATTGGGTGGTATCTCTGTTTCTCGCACTGCCCTTTACACTTGTTTCAGCCCTGTATGTTTTGTCAGGCATCCAGAGCATTCTTTCGTCACTTGTATGCTCTCCAGATGTGCTTTCCTCTTTCTGTCATCGACTGGCCACTGTTTGCTTGTTCTGAACAGGAGTCCACCTGTTACCCTTATCAGCTGCTCCTGGAGGCATTCATAATGGGCTATTAATCAAATTGAAAAGTCCTTCCTGCAACCTATCCAATATCTTGTCCATTTGG